ACACCAGAGGGCACACATAAACAGGATAATATCGGCAGCATATGGGACGCTGGCAATACAAGGACTCCTTCAAGGCAGTCTACATAAGATAAGTTGGACCAGTACTGGAATAGGCAGCACCGACATGGAATCCGCCCGCCCTTGTGAAGCATAAAACCAAAACTGAAAAAGTACAAAGGTTTGCAACAAGAGTGGTGCCAGAACTAAGAAGGTTAGGCTACGAGAATACGCTAGTGGAACTAAATCTCACAATCCTAGAGGATAGAAGGAACAGACGGGATATGATCACAACATACAAGATAATGAAGGGAATAGATAAGGTTGACAAGGATAGGTTCCTCAAACTGAGAGAAGGTAGGACAAGGGGACGCAGGTGGAAACTTGAAACGCAAATGAGCCGAAGGAATGTAAGGAAGTACTCGTACCCTGCACGGGTGATCGACACATTGAATGTCCTGAAAGAAGTAGTTGTGGAAGCCACCTCCATCCAGATCTTTATGGCCAGATTCGACAAAGAATTTGAACGCCAGGATAGTTAAATTATAACCCAGTAGGCTAGTAGACGGGGCATAAAGAGGTAGACTTCACTGCCCCACAGTCACTGATAGGTAAGCAGCGGGTAGCTACTGTGGTGGTGGTGGTGGCTGGCTGAGGCAGAGAACATTGGATGACAATGTGCTAGATCAGGTGAGTGAGGGCCACATTGGCACTCCCCGTCAGCAGGTTGGCACCCGGCATGGTCGTCCGTCACTCACTGTCTCATCACACCCTTCAAGACTCATTGTGAGTTTATACTTTGCTTGTTAATTTAGTATTGTAATGGAAACTGAGCATAAGTTTTATATAATTACACTCTTAATTAAGTCGCATGGTGTAGTTATGGATGTACACTGAGGTGTATGCTGCGTGAGAATACAAATTACTACCATAGGTCTGTGTTGTGTTGTCTTACAGTCTGGGAAGTGACGTGGTCATGCGTATATAGATGTATGATAGAGTAGCTATGTTACGGGCTATTCATGCCTGTGCCACCTCTTGGGTGGCTTAATCTTTATCAATCAATCAGTAGCTATGAACGGAGAGGCCATAAACACACATGATCTACATATGCGGGTCTTGCACAGGGTATTTTTTTACTTAGGAAATCACAATGGCATGATGTCATTGTGCAAAATTATATCATTTTGCAAAATGATATCTCTTTGCCAGAGATGCTGGAATAAAAAGATAACTAATTTGACAAACATGTTAAACATGAACGGCCATTTGTAAAACCATGTTGCGACTCATTTATTAATTTATGTTTTTCAAGATGAAGACGAATTTTATTTGCAATTATCGATTCAAGTAACTTTCCCACAATAGACGTTAGGCTAATTGGCCGATAGTTTGACACAAGTGATCTATCTCCTTTCATAAAAATTGGTACAACATTAGCAACCTTCCATGACTCTGGCACTCGACCTGACTCTATTGATTTATTAAATATGGTAGACAGTGGCTCGCAAAGCTCCTCTTTGCATTCTTTAAGCACCCTGGCAAACACTTCATCCGGCCCTGGGGATTTGTTTGGTTTGAGTTTAACTACTTGTTTAATTACATCCTCCCTGGTAACTGCTAAACTAGTCAACCTGTCCTCGTCCCCACCCACATAGACTTGTTCGGCTGAAGGCATATTGTTAAGTTCCTGTTTATTGTGTAAAACCCTGGTTTGTGTCTCGGAGAGGCTGCAGGATCCAAGTTTTGGCAGTAGAACTTCCATTTGCAATTCTTTTACAGTGTCGTAGCTCAGTCGATTAAGGCAGCGTCTGGGATCCTCTCGGACGTATGTTCGAACCCTCGTCACGGCCCTTGTGGATTTGTTACACTATTAATATTTTCTTTATGTCCATTCATCCATTTGTACACCTCTATCATGTCACCGCTAACTCATCGCCTATTTATTAGATTTATGAAAGACCTGGGTAAATACTGGTTCAGTAACAGGGTTTTGATTTGTGGAACCAATTACCCCGTAACGTAGTGGAGATGGAGTCCCTTGAGTGTTTCAAGCGTGGGTTGGACATGTATATGAGTGGGATTGGGTGGTTATAGATAGGAGCTGCCTCGTATGGACCAATAGGGCTTCTGCAGTTACTTTCATTCTTATGTAAAAATCATTGGAACATTCCGAGGATTCAAATCAATGTTCCGAGTCTCTCCAGCCACGCGCCTAAATGATATCATACCATTGTGATTAATTACATGGTGTGTAATGTAAGGGAACGTATGGGGGGGGGGGGGAACTATACCCGCACCAGAGTGTAGGGGGGGGAGGGAACTATACCCGCACCAGAGTGTAGGGGGGGGGGGGCTCTATACCCGCACCAGAGCGTATGGAAGTAATGTGTAAAAGCATGATCTGGTATCAGTTCGATGGTTCGAGATCCTGAGTGGATTCAGTATCATTCCAGGTAACATTAATTACTTAATAGTGATTGTGGTCCAGTGTGTTGATGCGCACAACTGGGGTGAACCAGAACGCTAGTTCGAATCCCCCAGAGTGCTCCAGAAACCCTATACTTGTCCTGTGAGTGGTGGTTACTGGGCACCCCACACTCATACTGTGAGTGGTTATTGGGCACCCCACACTCATACTGTAAGCACCGACCCTTATGTATTCAAACAGTGTTCAGCCAGCAGTATCTGGGGACCTGTGTGTATCAGGAGGTCGTGTTCGAGGGGCCACCGAGTATGATAAGACTTACGATGAGCTTTGGGAAGGAAAAGCTTGGAGCCTGCTTAAAAGTCAAAATACATCTGCTGTGTCCACTTTTATAAAACAAAACACAGAGGGGTCAACGGGTATTAATCAGGCGTCAGTGTGTGTGACACTGACCCCATTCCTCTCGTGTAGTCGGTGGCTGAAAGGTCACAGGATCACATAATGGGTTCGGAACCGGTTTCGATTCCATGATATGCAAATAATAAATAGAATGTAACAAGTTCATCTCAAGCATTTTATGGATTTATTGAATATTTTCCGGGAATTGGTCAGTGTATATAAAACAGGATGACTGTTTACAGCAGGAGTCAAGAGGCTTAAGGCTCGCCGCCAGTGTCATAGACCAGTCGGAGTGGAGGCCCAAGTGTTATCGTTTAATAAATATCTCCGGCTATACTGACCTCTGCGATTTTCTTGACGTCTCAATTCGGTAATATGTTTTCCGCGGACTGTTTTTTATTGCTTCATATTTTTGTATTCTTTGGGAGAAGCAGAGAGATGGAAGCAAGGAAAAATGTGGAAAGGATGGGAGAGTGAGAGGAAAGGGGGAGAGGTGAAAGAGGAGGGGAGATCGGGAGATAGAGTGGAGAGGGTAGGAGAGGGGGCATGGAGGAGAGAGAGACGAGAGTCTCTCTCTCCTCCATCTCTACCAATCTCCCCCGATGAGAGACCGGGAGATGGAGGAGAGGGAAGAGAGGGAAGAGAGAGAGTGAGAGGAGGGAGGGTGAGGGAAAGAGAGTGAAAGGAGGGAGGGTGAGGAAGAGGGAGAGAGAGGAGGGGAGGGTGAGGGAAGAGAGAGAGAGAGAGGGGGAGGAGGGATGGTGAGGGAAGAGAGAGAGAGAGAGAGAGAGAGAGAGAGAGAGAGAGAGAGAGAGAGAGAGAGAGGAGAGGAGAGAGAGAGAGAGAGAGAGAGAGAGAGAGAGAGGAGGGAGGGTGAGGGAAGAGAGAGAGAGAGAGAGATAGAGAGAGTGAGAGGGAGGGAGGGTGAGGGAAGAGAGAGAGAGGAGGAGGGAGGGTGAGGGAAGAGAGAGAGATAGAGAGAGTGAGAGGGAGGGAGGGTGAGGGAAGAGAGAGAGAGAGAGAGGGAGGGTGAGGGAAGAGAGAGAGAGAGAGAGAGGGAGGGTGAGGGAAGAGTACCATAGGTCACAGCCACGAGCCTCATCTACTGCTCATATATCAACACATCTTCCCAAACTGAGAGTACTTACAGGAACCATGTGGTGGAAAGTACCAATGTGCGGTGAAAAACCACCAGAAGGATGAACTTTTGTATTTTATATATAATATAATTTAGATAATTACCTATGAAACCAAAGCCAATCATCTCTAACTAGTGAATAATTCCAATACACTTGACGCACTCAAGATGTGTTCCTTACGGCCTTCATCTTTGACACATTGAGGTAATGGTTCCTTGGCGGACAGGTGTGTCTCCCTTTACTTTCCCATTCCCTCTCCCCATTATATAATTATATATATATATATATATATATATATATATATATATATATATATATATATATATATATATATATATATATATATATATATATATATATATATATATATATAATATATATATATATATATATATGTGTGTGTGTATATCACGAAAATAAACACGTGATTAAGAATGTGACAATGTCAGACCACGGAGGAAAATGAAACAGGAATTTCCTTAAGTACTTTCGTATATTAAATACATCTTCAGAAGGAATCATCTAAATACTTAAATACATCTTCCTTCTGAAGATGTATTTAAAATATATATATATATATATATATATATATATATATATATATATATATATATATATATATATATATATATAATTATAATCACAATGGCGTGCTGTATCAATGAAATCATTTTAAGACAATAGTGACTTGAACTCGCGACCTGGAGGTTGGGCCAGCCACAAGACAAGACTTCGAGTCCGTTCGAGCATCCATGACGAGAGAAAAAGACTAAAATTTAAGATGATAATGAAACGTTGTAACCATATCATTACCACTACCTCGGTCATGATGTGAGAGACCCGCCGGCTGTTGCTCCTCAACCCATTATGTGCCTCACTGATCAATGTTCTCACGGGTTAGCCTTTTGGCACATAATAAAGTAAATAAAACAAAATAAAAGCAAACTCGTAAAATGGCATGCCGGGCGACCCCGACCTGAGCACGGGGTCACCTGCTGATAGTGAAGGTAAAACGCCTCTTACCTCACTTTCCTCTTGCTAGTGGGTTCCATGTGTTGGTGGCGAGTGTTGCTTGAGTTAAGCTGCGGCCGTTGGTAGAGCGAGCGCCTGTCAGCAGCGGCAGTGTCGCCATTTGCAGCAAATGTTTGGATTCGGCACGTGTAGCGGCGGAGGTGTGATAACTGTAGGTTTATGAGTGGTGTAATGTTGACGGCTTCAGTACTGGTTCATCATTTACTCTTCTCTTACATAAGCTTCTCCCGTTGCATGTTTACAACTGGATAGATATATCTGACATTCTTATGCAGTGTTTTTTTCTAAGTAATGACACATAATTACGTAGTTGCTGTGTGAAAAAGGTGTTGTCGTCAATGCTTGTGATTGTAGTGTTGTAACGAGTATGGTGCCAAGATATTTTGGTGATAGGACAGTTATCAGTGACGATCGACTTTCCAGGATATATATATATATATATATATTTATTAAATATGACCGAAAAAGTAAGATTAATAATTCTAACACGAATTTTCTCAATCTTTCGTACATTATGCTTCACTGTTGGAGGTAAATCAAAAATCACTTCTCCAAAATTCATTTTTATTTCTAGTCTGACGCGACACGGGCGCGTTTCGTAAAACTTATTACATTTTCAAAGACTTCACAAATGTAATAAGTTTTACGAAACGCGCCCGTGTCGCGTCAGACTAGAAATAAAATGAATTTGGAGAAGTGATTTTTGATTTACCTCCAACGGTGAAGCATAATGTACGAAAGATTGAGAAAATTCGTGTTAGAATTATTAATCTTACTTTTTCGGTCATATTTAATAAAATATGTCTACAGGAAAGACTGCTACCAAAATATACTAATATATATATATATATATATATATATATATATATATATATATATATATATATATATATATATATATATATATATATATATATATATATATATATAATATATATATATAATATATATATATAGAGAGAGAAGGAGTCCTTCTGAAGATATATTAATATACGAAAGTACTTAAGGAAATTCCCGTTTCAATTTTCCTCCGTGGTCTGACATTGTCACATTTTTAATCACGTGTTTACTTTTGTGATATACACACACCAACCCGTTCTCGCACTTTCGTATAGTCAATATTGACTTATTAAATACGTGCATATGTGACATACTTAACATACTAGTTTACCTTGAAAAGCTTCATAGAAAACATCGACCTTACCTAACCTTCTTAGTATGTTTAGATAAGCATCTTATTGCTTCGTAATTACAATTATTACTTAACCTATTATAGGTATAGGTTAAGTAATAATTGTAATTACAAAGCAATAAGATGCTTATCTTAACATACTAAGAAGGTTAGGTAAGGTCGGTGTTTTCTATGAAGCTTTACAAGGTAAACTAGTATGTTTAGTATGTCACATATGCACTATGCACGTATTTAATACGTCAATATTGACTGTAAGGAAGTGCGAGAATGGGTTGCGCGCGCGCACACACACACACACACAGATGCCGAAGAAATATAAGAAAATTCACCTTCGCAAATAGAGTGGTAGACGGTTGAAACAAGTTAAGTGAGAAGGGGGTGGAGGCCAAGACCGTCAGTAGTTTCAAAGCGTTATATGACAAAGAGTGCTGGGAAGACGGGACACCACGAGCGTAGCTCTCATCCTGTAACTACACTTAGGTAATTACACACACACACACACACATATATATATATATATATATATATATATATATATATATATATATATATATATATATATATATATATATATATATATATATATATATATATTCTTTTTTTGGCAGGGATATTCCTGCACGGACCCAAAGCCTCTGGCTGGCCCACTAAGTGTTACTCGTTCCTGTTGTACTTAGGCGGTGGATGATTATTTATGACTATATTCGCTTCAATACCATTATGTCCAATGTGTTTAACAACTTCTTCTGCCTGTTAAATCTCAGTTGAAATCTTATTTGCTTTGTAACTGTGCACTGTTAGATAATATTTTAGTGTTCTGTCAGGCACTTCGCAGTGCTGACATTTTCTCTCAACTTTTGGAATCATTAAATTCCAAATGCACATGGGTATCCAAGCCTGATTCAATGTAAGTACACTTCTATTTTTATATTGCTTCCTGTCATCAAAATAAGTGTTTCGTAGTTGATTTAGTTCTTAGACCAACATGCAGATCCTGATGCTACAGCTGCTGCATAATGGTCACTGAACATCTTCTGCATTGATTTGTCTCTAATTATTTTCTTAATGTGTGCTAGGCTGTCATATGCAAATGTTCACATTCCTCCTCTTAGTTGCATGTTCTGTAGCTTCATCTGCAATGTCATTCACTGGTATTCCTACATGACTTGGCACCCAGTTGATAAACATTCGACGACCTTGATGTTTAAGTGTCTGCATTAATGCTATAACATTTGTGGTCAGATGGATGTTGTCACGTATTCTTGTTGAAAGGTTTTAGCGGCAGTTCTCGAATAAGTATGTGTGACAACGTATTGTTGGTGTTCTGCAAGAGTATGTCCCAAAGCCTTTTGAATGGCTAGCATCTCTGTAAAGTTCAGTACAGTACCTGTTTGAGAGTCTCCAACTAACTCCAGAATTTCCTGCCTTAACTGCAGCAGCTCCAGACTTTTGTCTTTGCTAGGCTAATGATCCGTCTGTGAAGTATGTGAAGCTGTCAAGATGCCAAATTTGTTTTTGTATTCATCTGTACACTGATTCGCAAACCACAGTTTGTATTGTGGTAATCATACATATATCAATCAACCATTTTGTATGAGTTATGCGAGATCTGAAAAGTGGTCCATGATATTCTTTCGCGTCATTCTCTGCTTCTTAGGTAATTAGTTGTTTAACAATATTAACTAAGGCTTAAGAATATATTTTTGTGTAATGTTGGATTTAAGAGGTTAACACAAATTTCACATATGGCGTGAAATGAGTCACATATGGCGAGAAATGAATCATGTCTTGAATCTAGCCTCACTGCATTAGTTCGTGGTTATATCGAGAGAATATTGTGCAACACGACTTGCAAGGTGTTGCAGCCCCTTCATGCTCCAACACGTGAGGGGTTACTCACTTTATACAGTCCAGCGCCTCGTCACAGGACCCAGCAACAAGGATAGGCTACCTGACAAAGCTTCGCTAAAGTTTATAGATATCCCAATAACAAATCAGCTGCAAGCAAATAGGTTATGAAATTAATTACATCTGTACACGTATATCTGTAGATACACACTGATCTGCACTATATCTATATCATGGCGTTTTCTTATTTTTCACTGTGTGAACATGATAAGGGCTGCGTGAACAACATGGCTTCAGAAAATACGTTTTTATTTTTTTCTTATTTGGTTTTATGCACTGTGAGATGATGTTACTTTCAGATTCAGGGGCCCATCTAACACATTCTGAAGGTAGGGCTTAAAAAGGTTTAAAAGGAAATATGCTAGCATAGATTCAAGAATACCTAAGTCACAGGTATGCCAGAACAAAGTTGCAAGGACAAATGTCGGACTACCACTTGCAAGAGAATGGGACTCCACAACGAGGAGTCCTCAGTCCTAGTCTTTTTTTAACATCCTTTGGAAACCCTCGTTACCGTGACATGTGCAGAAGAGGTTACATTGCTAAGCTATTCTGATGTTATAGCATTAGTAGTCACAGGTCCTTCACTAATAAATAAAGCACAAGGGGCGTTAGATAAAGTAACAGCTGAATGCAGCATTTTAGGGCTAAAAATATCTGCACAGAAGTCTAAGGTAATGAGATTAGGTGGGAACACTCCAGACAGGCACCTACGCATTCAAGACATTAACCTTCAGTGGGTTACACAATATCAATATCTCGGAGTGTGGATAGATTCTAAAATAACATTCAATAAGCAAATTCAATACCTGAAGGAGAAAGCAAAATCACGACTGAATATAATCAGAGCAATCACAGGGCTTCGTTTAGGAGCGGGACAGAAAGTGTTAAGAATGTTTTACATACACGCCGTTCGTTCCCTAGTTGATTATGCAGCGCCTGCCTTACTCACTCTTTCTCCTGGCCAGTGGGCCAACGTTGAGGTTATTCGAAATTATGCAATGCGAGTCATAACAGGAGCTCCCAGATGGACTAAAATACTGAATCTAAGACTAGAAACCAAGCTAACATAAATTGAAATAAGGGTAAAATGGATTGCTGCATGCATGCTGACCAAGATATTGACTAGACCTAGATCAGTACACTTAAAGATATATTCACTGGAGCCCTAACTCGGGACAGAAGAGCGTCCAGTACCAACAGGTGGACCCATTGTGCAATAAACGCCATCAATACATTCGATATAACATATAGCGTCCTCGTCGAGACTCCTAGTGTTAATGGCTCTCGGGAAAACACAGGTAATTGAGTCTAAGCAAATCCCCATTATGATCGTTAATGATCATGTCTGGGAGTAAAAGTGATCACGGTAATCATATTTAAAGATAACATTCCTTCCTTTTGTTACGTGTGTTTGACATAAAGGATAGATTGTATTATGGAACAAACAGTTGGACATATTTGATCTAAATAGAATTCACCAGAATATTATTTAGATACAAAAGTTCAAATCGTCTTTCTCAAGTTAATAAATTAGGACTTCCAGTGCCTCCTTAATTAAGTAAGGTAACCAAACCTACCCTAACGAAACATGAGGTAACGTCACCTAACAGGTGGGCGTATTAGCCCAGGGTGTAGTGCTAGGAAGCTACTGCTCAACAAACTATTATAATACAGTAACCGGCCAGTTTTCCTATACAGTCCGTAAACAATAATAACTGCTGCACGAAAATAAAAATATAATATAAGTTTTTCTTGTTTGTAAATTTTATTCATAAAATGTATCACGTTTTACGTGTCCTGTGGACTGCTGCGAGGCGGGGGGGTGGGGGGGGGGCTTCCAAGGCACAGGTCCTGTGAGGGGTATCTTTAAAATCTAAATATTTCACCCTCGAAGGCTTATTTTAAAAAAATTGTATTCTAAATAATAATATTTATTTAAGACACCATATTTTATTACACTGTATGACTATTATTATCAAGTATGCCAGTGAGTATGACTATATTTTTAGGACAGGAAGCTCATTTGTTCGAGAGCAGACCAATATATTTTGTTTTGTCAATTACTTTTGGCCATCTACGAACGATAACCAGGCACCCCCAATAAGACTTTGCACTACCACGGTGTTGCAGGAGGAACAAGTACCCTTACTGAGCTTCAAGTTCATCAACAACAGAAGAAAAAGTGTACACAGTCCCTTCCGAAGGTCCATCATGCTGGGCCGTAACCTGCTGGTCGATGTGTTGGCGGCGGTATTCGGCGTGGGCGCTTGGGTGGCCGTCAACGGCCTGTGGGTGGAGCTGCCCCTGCTGGTGGAGAAGCTGCCAGAGGGATGGAACCTCCCGTCGTACCTCTCAGTTATCATCCAGGTGTGTTGGTCTTCTCTCACACATCCAAGAAAGTTCTCCTCTACGTGTTTTTGCGCCTTCGAGGGTTTATTATCACCAATAATAGCTCTGTGAAATAAAGATTTCTTGCGCTTCGGATCACCGGTATGAACATATCTTTATTGTACTCACATCGTCAACATTAGGACCTTTCCCCTTGCTTTTCAGATCGCAAACATTGGTCCCATAGCGTACTCTGTGTTGATAGCCTTCCGGCCAGGACTGCGTCCAGCGCCGGTGGTGTACGGGGTACTGGCTGTGGGCTGCGTTGCCTCCCTTGCGATGTCGATGCTGTGGGATAAGACGTCATGGGTGGGTGGAATGCAGCACTCAACAGCGCTCCTGCTCTTAGTTTTCCTGCTGGCGCTGGTCGACTGTACCTCATCGGTGCTCTTCATGCCCTACATGGCTGTCTGGCGGAAAATCTACCTGCCCTCCTACCTAATAGGGGAAGGGCTGTCTGGGCTGTTGCCTGCTCTCGTGGCCCTCGCTCAGGGCGTTGGAGGTAACTCCAAGTGTATGAACATTACCATCTGGAACATAACTGAAGAAGGCAATACCACTTACATAGACGTTGAACCTGTCTCTCTCAGCCCGAGGTTCACTGTAACAGTTTTTTTCTATATCCTCATGTCTATGATGATTGCAAGCGCCCTGGCCTTCACCCTGCTAGAGCTTTTGCCTAACATAAAAAATGAACGAGCAATCCCGCCCTCAAACTCTGAGAGTGTGGCTGCGCTAGAAGCTTCACACTCCAACACCCAATTGATGAGTACCTTAGAGTCCAGAAAGCAAGACACGGGCATGAGCTCGCAGCTCTACTGGATCATGCTGGCAGGTCAAGCCTGGGCCTGCAGCCTTACCAACGGTGCTCTACCCTCCATTCAGTCGTATTCCTGTGGGGCGTACGGCAATGTAGCCTACCACTTGGCAGTCACGCTGTCGTCTCTGGCTAACCCGTTGGCGGCACTGGTGACGCTGGTTCTGCCGAGGGCACGAGCATGGCTCCTGCTGGTGCTTGGCACCTTTGGGTCACTGGTGGCAGGTTATATTCTAGCTACTGCAGCCCTCAGTCCCAACCCGCCCCTCATGGGTACCAAGGCGGGAGAGGCTCTCGTGGTAAGTACAGTATTATAATCTTACAGTTTAGTTTTAAGCATGTTTTTGAGTTAGGTCTACACTCTCAGGCCATTTATGGCGTGCGGGGCACATCAATAGGCCTACCTGAAAAAATGAGAGTTCATATTAACATAAAATAATTATTTATGTTGATCTCAATGTCTTTTTTGTGATGTTTCGTCGCTGAATTCATCGCATGTTTCATCGCTCAATAATTTGGAAGGCATCAACAATGAATTAGGTTTGTCTAATTACATTAATGTTTAAATGGAAAGGGATAAGACATACGAAAAATATTCAGTCAAACTAAAGAATTGAACAGAAAAGAGGCAGAGAAAATTACGGCATGAAAGACCGGTTTCAATGTGTTATTTTTAAAACGTAACATTTCTTTCATCACTAAAGAAATTTGAAATAATTATACAACAGTGGGTGACTTACAGATAAATTTGTTGTACACTTACATTATCAGAAGCTCTAGATAATTTGTACCCTTCACATTTTTTGTAATTACATACGAATGAAATCACCAATCATACTTAACCTCATAATGCGTCAGCTGAGCTAAGCAGCTAAACGCTTCTAGCACGATCAAACGATGACCTTTAATGATTCCATATTTATGAATCCCTAAAGACATACTAACATGAACCTTGTCACTCACAATACAGGTATTGGCGTGGGTCGTATTCACAGGAGTGATGACCTACGTGCGCGTGGAGATTGCCAATCAGATGCGAGAGGAAGGTGCCCGAGCACTCTTCTGGTGTGGCGCCGTCACACAGGCGGGCTCGGCCATAGGGGCCATCACCACCTTCGTCCTGGTCAACGTCTATAATCTATTCACTCCGTATTATCCATGCTAGAACTTATTAAGCTATACATGTTAACTAAGAAACGTATGTTATTGTGAGCGATGCCGTTTATTAGGGTCTGGATATTATTGAGTGTTTCCTGCATGAAGTCTCTGTGAGGAGTTTTAAACAGGTATTTAAAATTACATTTTGTTATAGCTCCCTTGATGCATGTCTTATTATCCCTTATACAATGGACATCTTTAAAGGGGGGTTATTACTTTGCAAGTGTTGGATGAAAGATATAAAGTTAACCAATATTAGTATTTTTAGCTATAATATATTTTATACAGTATTTTCAGCATAAATGTCTACTCTTTTAAGATTTTATTGTTACTTTGATTTGTTAAATGAAGTACAAGCATTATAATGTAAATGGAGAAGCATTAGTGGACAAATTGGAACGAGGATTACCCGGACAGCCTCATGTCCGTAGTTGTCTAGTCAAGTATCATTTATTCCACTATGGTTTGTGCTCTCGAAAATTAAGATGTTCCCTACTGTCTACTCTTCATGATTTAATCTTCATATATGTTACTACCGAATATCCTAAATTTAAAATTTACCTTAAATTAAACTATAATTATTCAAGAAATCAACTTAAAATTGTATAGCTGTAGCATTGATAATTAGCGATATTTTACATTGAATATAGTGTTAGCCACAGCATTTTTGCCTGTTGTTTTAAGTCAACATTATAGACTGTCAATTTTATCAGAAAACAAGTTCTTTATTGTCACTACCTGAATGTATCACTGTACTGTAACTTTCAACATTTTTAATAAATGAGTTTTTTTCAGGCAAAAGTTTTACTTTCATATCTCTGCAGTTGTATATTTTCACTAACATTAAAATCACAGGAAACTCTCCAGTATTCCATTACATTATTCGCGTGTTTTTCTTGTCATTATTTTGTAATTATTTGTTATTATTAATTATTTGTTATTTGTTAATTATTAGCAAATTATAAAATATTATGTCATCAAATTATTATACAATTCTCTTATATATTAGCAATCGATGTCAGATCGTCAAAAATTAAAGTTGAAAGTGCTCCGGGTTTATAGTTGCACTCAAAGTAGTCTGTAGACCAAACTTCAAACTTTTCATATATTGAACCCGTATAAGACACTTGTGCTAAAAAAAAACAAAATATCGTCCCCATCAATCGTCCCAATAAATAGGCTGCTGAAATTCAATTCAAGTAAGTGTAATGAAAATATGTAAGGAAGATAGGAGACCTGTATTTAGCTATATCATAAGGGGAAGGCAATTACAAGAAACAATAAGAGGAAAAAGACCTGGGAGTAGACATATCTCAACACTAACACAAGAAGCTCGTGTGAACAGGATATCAGCAGCAGCATATGGGAAGTTAGCAAACATAATAACATCATTTAAGAATTTAAACAAGGAAGCTTGCAGGTCCATACGCACTGTCTATTTGAGACCGTGACTTGAGTATGCTACTCCAGGATGGAACCCACACCTTGTGAAGCATAAACAGATGCTTAAGAAAGTTCAGAGGTTTGCAACTAGAGCAGTGCCAAAATTGATAGGCCTCAGCCATGAGAACAGGTTATCAGAACTTGCCTTCGCAACCTCAGAGAAAAGAAGAAACAGAGTAGATATGATAACTACATACAGTACAAGATCTTGAGGTGAATAGATGAAGTGGATAAAGGAAGCCTATTTAAATTTAAAAGAGGTAGAACATGGGGACATTGTTGGAAGCTGGACATGCAGTTGAGCAAAGAGATGTAAGAAAGTTCTCATCCCCTGTACAGGTGAACAAATCCACAAGGGCCGTGACGAGGATTCGAACCTATGTCCGAGAGCATCCCAGACGCTGCCTTAATCGACTGAGCTACGACATGGTCAAAAAGGAGTTGAAACCAAAGTTCTACTGAACTTACTGGATCCTGCAGCCTCTCCGAGGCACAAACCAGGGTTTTACACAACTCCCCCATGCACTCGAGCTATGTCAATAGGCCATTCTCCCTCTTCGCCCTTACTCCATTACACACAGAAATCACAATTGCGTGATGCATCACGCAATTGTGATTTCTGTGTGCCCTGTACAGGTGGTTGGCAAGTGGAATGCATTGAAAGAGGTTTTTTGAAGCCAATTTCTATCCACACTTTAATTAGAATTATGATAAAAATATTGATGTTTTTTTTTGTTTTTTTTTCAGGGATATTCCTGCGCGGGCCCTAAGCCTCTGGCTGGCCCACTAAGTGTTGCTTGTTTCTGTTTTACTTGGGCGGAGTATGAGTATTTATTACTCATATGGTCGCTTCAGTAAGATTTTGCCATATGTGTTTAACAACTTCTTCTGCTCTGTTGAATCTAAGTTGAAATCTTAATGGGTTTGTAACTGTGCACTGTGTTAGATAATGTTCCAGTGGTCTGTCGGGCATTTCTCCACAGTGCTTGAGAGAGGTAATTAGCATGTCAGGTATAAATTGCTAGGAGGGCATAAAGAGCTAGATTTCACTCCCCAATTGTTATTGATAGATAAGCACTGATAGGTAAACACCAAGATAGTTATGGCTTTGGGCAAGTGACATCTTAAGGAAAAAGCCTGAGGTAACGTCATTATACAATATTCGTTTATCTTTTTGTTTTTTCAAGTTGTTAGCTAAACAATCGTCCAAGAGTAGGCATGGGATGCCAACCAGGTTAAACCTGTTAAAACATGGTACTCTTACTGGGTTGAGGTTCCAAAGCCTTACTATTGCATTAATTTTATTTGAATTGTAGTTATACTAAATAACCCAACCCACATATGAAATGAAAAGAAAGTGATGCCATTTTTGCCTATCATGGACACTTATTAAGTGAGGACTAAGACATACAGGTTGTTGTTTTAGATTCAGCTACTCTGAACAAAAAGTTCCAAGCACCCGTCATACTCACCTGGCACAGGAGATGTACAGAGACATACAGGTTGTTGTTGTTTAGATTTAGCTACTCAGAACGAAATGTCCATGTAGTACGGTCTATAGTGAGCCTGTCTCCTACAGGGAAAGGCAGCCAATATAAGGCAAAAAGAGTAGGTGAGGTGTAAGAGGGTAAACAATATAATAAAAATGAAAATGGAGCTAAAGGCAGCTTCCTAGATAAAAGAACTAACAAAATAGACAGAGAAAGGATTGAAAGTAAGCACAAAAAGTAAATAAATAAAAGGAAAAAATTAGACATACAAAGAGATGATGGCAGAAAATACAGGAGAGGACAGAAAGGCAGATAGCTAAGTCGGTTCATGTGTGCTAAGCAGAGCATCTAACTATGCACTGAGAAAGGCAAGAATCAAGAGCAACAAAGCCAGGACTAGGGTTCATGTTGGGTATCTTGTGTAGAAGATCAATTCAATAAGATGGTGCCTGTGGAGAGCAATTAAAGATTATCACAACATACAAGATAGTAACAAATTGACAAAATTGACAAAGAAGAATTTTTGAAAATGGCAACTTCGAGAACAGGAGGATATAGATTTAAACTAAGAAAACAAAGCTGCCAAAAAAAATTTGAAATATCATTTTTGCAAACAAAATGGCAGACGGTCAGAACAAGTTAAATGATTAAGTGGTGAAGGCCAAAAATGTTGGTAGTTTCAAAGCACCATATGACAAAAAATACTGGTAAATGGGACACTCCAAACGTAGCTCTTATCTTGTAACCACACCTGGGTAATTACACAACTGCCCTCTGGTTCAGTGGTGTAAGCCTTTTTCCCCTGAAATAACAAGGTAGTTTTCACTTGGGTAGGACACCCTCCTAAAACAATTTTGTCACTACCCGATAAGAGGTTTTTCATGAAAGCAAATTAGCTTACATTAAGTGGACAGCTTCACCTTCCTTGCACCCTATTCTTTAAAACAATGTGTGGTTCTCTTGGCTTCCATCCCAAAATTAGTTCTTAAAATAACCTGCATTATATAACTGGAACACAGCAAATCAGTTTAATAAAAGTTCTAAATTTAAACCTGAATTTATCTGAGGGCCACTAACACTAGTGGCCTCAATGAGGACAGGAAGTCGGAGTCTTGTCAAGTTAAGATTACCTGTACTTGCACATTTTTTAAATATTGTACATTTTTATCTATTAGTGTCTTATATTTACTTACTACTGGAAAAATAAATAACAAAGATTACCAAGTGTAAATATATTGTATTCTAATATTTTGCTTAAGAAGTTTAACGAGAGAAAACCAAATGGTAACTGAATTCAGTATTTATTAACATAATACTACAGTACACTTTCCTGAATTCCATAAAAATACATTTTAGTATCAAGTGAACTTTATCCAGTTTTATGCATTATGTAATATGATTTTGTACACAGCAAGGCAAGTTTCCAGGATAAATATCCCTTGGGTACCAAAATAAAAAAATAATTGATTTAAACATGTAGATGTTCCATAGTCAGTAAGATTTATAACATGAGGAGTATCTCTTTCTGCATTGACATGGTTAACATCATTCCAGTGAAATCAATATACAAAAGCAATATTTCTAAAATACAAATCAAACTCTCTCCTGCAATTGATAGGATATTTCTTAGCAATATTTACAATGTTTCAAAATTGGTAGCTTTGGTTAACTCTTGAACATGATTCAAGTTAATAACATTATATGCTAAAAGAGAATGAGTTTTTATAACAGCTATATCTCTTGCCTTTTTTAAAAGATGTAGTTTAATCTGCCAACAATTCCATAAATCTGTTATTCATAATTCAATATACTGTATATGAGTAGTTACTGTGTTTTTCAATTACCGTACTACAGTAAATCACATTATAAACAAAGCAAGATTAGCGAGTTTATTTTTTCCTTTTATGCACATTAAATTCAAGTTTAATAAAACAATTACTGGTGTTGGCAAGTGTCACAGACAGATGTATACTGTACTACTATAAAATTAATAAAGATATAACCGCTTACATTCTCTTAATTTATTAGCATATGAAACAAAATTCCCTGCACTTTACAAAATAGGAAAGATTGGGAAATAACATGCACACTTCCACTAAAGTTATGAAGTCTTATAGAAAATACATAGACAGTACGAGTGTATGCCAAATTAAATATATTAATGCATTTCTGTAACAATAATTTTTAAAGACAAATTATTATTAGGGTGAATGTACTAAGAAAGAAATAGAAACATGGTTATGGCTAAAGAATTACAACCAAATATTTATGTTCCAATGTAATATTTGGTAGATAATCAATGTCAATAATGCCTGATAGAACTCTTAATAGGAGAATGAAAAAGAAACCTACAATACAGATAATCAAAGATAGGTCTAAGAATAATCAAAGTCTATAATGCTATACTGTACTTTCAATTTTCTTGGAAGTACATTAATTTATCAGAAAATGGAGATAGTAATTACACGAGTACAGTAATCTACAATTTGGCTAAAGTGTTTTCTGCCAGTGAACATGTGAGACCTTTTCCATCAGGTTCCACATTGAGTTGAACAACTTTACCATCTTCAACGATCATAGAATACCGTTTTGACCTTAAGCCCCCTAAAACAGCCAAATCTTGATCAAGTCCAACTGCTTTGGTAAATTCACCATTAGTATCAGCCAGCATGCGAACCTGTATTAATAGAAATAGTGGATTATTATTTAGACTGAAGTGCATACTGAACATTGGCATCAGTAACTGTGCAAGAAAACTTTATAACAGATTACACAAGAATTAGAGAAGGTTAATCCAATATGATTTTGCAAACTTTTTTGTTAGATTTTGTATATTTGTATTGATTGATTTGTATATTTGTATTGTTAGATTTTTATGATTGTTTTTTAACTTGTTTCCAAGTAAGATGTAATACATTTTATCAATGTCAAGAGTGAATTTGTTAGTAGTCAGCAATAAATGAACTTTCAGTTCTGCATTCACTGTCAGAATAAGTGGATTAGCATTAGAGAAAATGAAGATTGTATCATCGGCAAATGGAATTGGTATAAGGTGTTGCATGGCATTTAGGTCACTGATGTAGATGAGAGTGAACTAATTATATTACCCTGTGGAACACCAGTGTTAATTAGCAGGGTGGGAGAAGTAGCATTGTTTACATAGGGAGAAGTAGCATTGTTTACCAATACAAATTTTCACAGAGGTAAGATCAAAAGTATTGAAGTAAATAATTATCAAAAGGTACCAAGTCAGGAAGACTGTGTAGAAGACTTGTGTAGAAGACTATGTAGCTGAAAGTATTTAAGGAATTGACAATCTGAAGTGGTGCAGTTTGAGGTTATTGTGGTTAGCGGTGTCAAAGGCCTTATGCATGTCAACAAATAGACCTGTGGGGTACTCATTGTTTCAAGAGTTACATGTATGAAGTCAAGCATAATAATTAAAGGATCATTGCTACTTTTTGGGGGAAGCACCGTCGGCTCCCCGGAGCTATCCAGGCTGATATGGATATACAGACAGCCACTTGGTTTACGAACTTAAGTTATCCGAAAGTTCCGGTTTCCCGATAGGGGTTGGGGAGTCACACTACACGAACTAAGTTCGGGTGAGGAAGAGGTCCGCCAAGCGTCGCGCCTGCCTGGAGTGTTGGGTGGGTGGGAGATGGCCTAGTTTGCTCATTGACTGTGTTGGGCGCCACCACTCTAGAGTGCCTTTTACCCTATGAGGTCACAGATTCACGACCTATTGTTCCCATTGTTTTGATTTGTCATGAGGCATGAGTGTTCATTCCGTGACTTCATTTTACATATCTGCACAATCAAAGAACATCCGTGCACCATGTCGGCTCCAAATGCACGCATTGCATCAGTGACGGCTGGCTGGTGGGTGAATGGGTGGGGGGGGGGGGGGGGCAGGCAGCCAGTGAGAGAGGGAGGGTGAGGTAGGAAGAGATGCTAGGAGGTAGGCAGGCCGGCAAAGAGGGAGGGAGGGAGGGAGGGAGGGAGGAAGGGAGGGAGGGAGGGAGGGAGGGAGGGAGGAAGGGAGGGAGGGAGGGAGGGAGGGAGGGAGGGAGGGAGGAAGGGAGGGAGGAAGGGAGGGAGGGAGGAAGGCAGGCAAGCAGGCACGCAGGCAGGCAGGCAGGCAGGCAGGCACGCAGGGAGGGAGGCAGGCAGACAGGGAGAGAGGGAGGGAGTCAGGCAGGCAGGCAGGGAGGGAGCAAGGGAGGGAGAGAAGCAGGCAGGGAGGGAGGCAGGCAGGCAGGCAGGCAGGCAGGGAGGGAGGGAGGGAGGGGGAGGGGGAGGGAAGCAAGCAAGCAGGCAGGGAGGGGAGGGAGGGAGGGAGGGAGGGAAGGAGGCAGTCGGGGAGGGAGGGAGGCAAGCAGGCAGGGAGGGAGGGAAGCAAGCAAGCAGGCAGGGAGGGAGGGAAGCAAGCAAGCAAGCAGGCAGGGAGGGAGGGAAGCAAGCAAGCAAGCAGGCAGGGAGGGAGGGAGGGAAGGAGGCAGTCGGGGAGGGAGGAAGGCAGGCCCGTGGCCCATGGGGTTAAGGCACATATCTGGGGTTATGTAGAATGCTGGTTCGATTTCCATCCTTTATCTTGGGTATTAGCATGCAAGAGTTCATACTGTTAAGGATGCTAGTAACTAGTGGATTATCAAGCTGATAGAGATTAATATTAAAATTTTTGTTAAATTTGTTATTTAAAACTAGCAGTATGGTGTCATCCTGCATTCCTGATGCAAAATGTTTAGGGCTCTCCAGAGCACCCTTCAAAGATGCCTAAAATGTTAGTGCTCTTTTTTTTTCTGTGGTGAGTCCCGTCGGCTCCCTGGAGGTATCGGACTGATGTATGCTATGTTAGTCTGGGGCATCAGTCACATAGAGTCCTTGCCTACTGGGAACCACGAGCCCGAACCTGGTTCCCTCAGAGGTGCAGGGAGAAATGCCCTTGAAAACTTCACTCTTTGAGAGTATATTCATGTATGCCATCAACCGGGAAAGGCACCCAGAAAGGTAGGCATCCCAAAACAAACCCCTACTGGTAGAACATTGCAGCCCAAGACCGAACAGAGTCCAAGAACACCACCCCCAAGGAAAAAATGTAACAAGCAAAGCATCATCAAACCGACGAGCTGCTTGTTTGTGCGGGGTATGAGGGGGGGGGGGGGGGCACTCACCCAAGCCGGCTGCTCACCGATCAGTTTGTCTACTGATGCCGGCTGAGGCTGTCTCCTCTAGCCTCATTCTCTTGTCAAGCTTTTGCCTTTGTGATTGTGCCTGCTGTGTGGGTGGTGTGGTAGCCAGGAGAAATTTGTACTTTGGGCTGCATGTGCTTAGGGTTCTCTTCCCTTGGTGCCCTGGAAGTACAGTGGAACCTCGGGTGACAAGCAGCCCCATCGACGAGCATTTCAGGTAACAAGCGAGCCACTCGCAGAAAATTTGTCTCGATTGACAAGTTTCCGCACAGTTAACGAGAAAACCATGTGGTGCTTCCTAGCCTCCAACAATAGTGTATATTATAAAATTTCATATTGATGTTGAGGAGCAGTGTCAGAAGTCTGGTGGTGTCAGTGGTGGGGGTGGTGGGGGATGGTGTCAGAAGTCTGGTGGTATCAGAGGTGGGGGATGGAGAGTCTCAACTCACCGCACCCGACACTCCCTAAAAATGTTGACTGGGATAGAGGCTAGCTGTTTTCCTATCCCCTAAATACATCCCCCTCACCACTGAGGTAGGATTTGTTTCGGAACCGGAAACGGGCAGGAAACCCACAGGAGGGACGAGGTCATTTCAACGACACCCAACAGCAAACAGAGCCAGCCTCCTCCTCATCACTTCGTCAATGGGAAGAACAGTGAAAGGCCTGACGCCCCTTTCGAGAACCCGATCTCCACACAGAACGATCACTGTGCCGACCTGATGGAGATGATTCTGAAGGCTGCGCCGGCTCCGAAATTGGCACCACTGGCCTACCACGATGGGAGGAACCCCAACGGATCCCCTGGAGAACCAAGAAGTCTGGCATAGGACGACAACTGGAAGAAGCCGCCTGCGGATCCTGCACCACTGCAGACTCCGCAAACAGCAAGGGACAAAAAGGCAAAGACAACCTAAGAGCCAGGGCCCATGGGGATTCCACAGAGGAAGCAAGCACTCCCCTGCCAACTTCTGAGATTGGAAGAAAAAACACTGCATCCCGTAGGATCGGCATAAACAGTTTCAAAAGAGCAGACAGCGCACGCACCGCCGAACCAACACACCCAACCCATGACCGGCCCCAAACGCCTCCACATCCTCCTCGAGCCAGTGTGAAGAAAACTCGAGAAGAGAAAAGAACCACAAGACCAAAGCCAACAGGCCCTGGGCGCGCAAGTTCTCAGCAACTAGCTCAGCCAAGAGGGAGGGAACCTGCACGTGAAGCTGTACAATGCCGACATCCTGAAGAAGGGCAGGGGCGAACAAGCCCGCATAGAGGTGCTGAAAGTCGCCCTCCACCCCCCCCCCCCCCCCTGAAAAACCTGGACCACTGTATGAGCCTCGTGCCACTTAAGTACACGGGACCGGCAGAACAAATGCCATGCCTCCAACAATAAGAAAGGGTAGTCCGCAAGCCAGGACGACTTTGGAACCTCCTAACGAACCCAGTAAGGACAAGAAGATTCAAACGCGAAAGAAGAAGGATCCATTATGGAGGCATAATCCGTCACGCGAGAGGTAAGCTGTGATGGCCTCCCACACCTCATGAGGCAGGATGCAGGAGGCCGAAAACCTCCGGAAATACTGGACCAAAGAACCCCAAAGGGAGCACGGAACCGAACCCGGGGAGGGGTAGACGCCAAATCCAAGGACGTAGGAACAGGAAACCCTATTCTTTGCAACAACAACTTGGAGGGTACAAAAACCCAAGCAGGGTTCATCGGGCCCAAGGCTCCCCCCTAAGTCAACCTCCCAATAAAAATCCAAAGCTGAGCTGTCCTTCCAAACCCCCTGCCTCTGAAGAAAAGGCAGGAGCAGCCGAGAAAGCAGGAACGAAGGGGGGCCCACTGGTCAGATTCAGAAGCTCCGGCTGAAGGAACATGCTCAATGCCTCCATTGCCTCACCGGAAAGGGCATACTCCTAAACCGCCCGAATCTCAACACCAACTAAATCCTGCCCTAACTCCGAAACCCTCAGACACTTTGGAGCCGGAAGCAGGGGAAAAGAACCAGGACGAACAACAAAAATGAAAGGACAAGGGGGAGGGGGGCAGAATTAACCAAAGTCGAAGCATCTAATACCCCCAGGTCCGGAATCTCTATATCCAAAATGGGGCAGTCTCGAGGCATCCAGGGTAGCAACCAACCTAGCGCTCTGCAGCAACCTAAAATGAACATGCAACGTTGAAGCTACCTGCACCCGAATATCAAGATCAGTAGCCTGGGTGACCTGGAGAACATGCAAGCATCACCACTGGCAAGACTTTGGGTCAAAGGTGTCACAGACTCAACAGGCAGCATGACAGACACACAACCGGTGATTGTCACCCTGAGACATGGGTACAGAGCAACCTTCAAACTCACACGAAGCGAGAGGGGACCCAGGGATAGCATCCATCGGACCAAAGAGCCCCCGTAGGGTTTCCCAGGGCCCTTAGTCGCATATCTCGCTAAAGGAAGCCCAGGCAGGGTACTGCTAACCGGCACCCAAGGTTACCAAGCAAACTGCTAAAGCTGAACCCCCGGGACATGTACACTCACGGGGGCCTAGTGGAAGACTACCGAGATATAACTGAGGGTGACCAAAACCAAGGGGCAGACCCCCCACCTGGCAGGAAAACAAAAGAAAAGCCCTGCAAGAGGACAACGTGCCCAGGTGGAACAGAGCTGGCTGCTATGAGAGGTGACAATTAGCTGCACAATACCCTGCACCCAAACCCGAGATGAAACTACCCTCTACCCCGAGGCAAACAATGGTGCATGAAACACCATAGCTGACTCCAAGGGCAGTCAATCACCAAGCAGCAAAAGACCTTGCAGAGGTAGACTCCAAGGTGACTTGTAGAAGTTGGCCCCTAGCCCCAAGGGTAGTACATACAGGGGCACCTAGGAAAGAAGACCCTGGGCGTATGCAGCCTGAGTACTTGCAAAATTACTCCTGGCTCGCACACCACCTATTAGACAGGACCACACCACAAAGCACAGAACTGGAAAACACCGGAGCCAGAGGCGCACGACCTTACCAGTTGGCCTACAACTCCATGTGCATTGACTGATGCCAGGGTCTAATACATTCATATCAACCCGGTTAGCTCCGGGAAGCCGAAGGGGCTTCCCCTAGAAAAAACTTAAGAATTGCATTTCAAAATAAGATTTTCCTCCCTAACGAAGAAATACTTTTGCCATTACCTTATCTCCAGCACCCTTGTATTCCCCCCATGCTGCCATTACAAATGGATCATTTACTGCCACACAAGCAATCTCTTGAATGCCCTTGTCTTTCATCTCATCAGCTTTAGATATATAACCTGGTAGATGTGTCTGAAAAATACACAGAGATCAGAAAAAGTTGTAATGTTAAACAAATAACTAGGTAAGATAATATGTGTACTGTAATAGTTAATGAACTATAGGAACCATAATTATGTAGTCTACATATCAGATCATGGTGCAAACATCCTTGAAATTCTCTTTGCATTGTTACAGTAACTAAAGGAGCTAAATGAAAATATGGACCATGTTCCTGCATTGTTTAGTCATTGAAATTAAAAGCTTTATCAGTACTATACAGTAGCTGTATTTTTTTAATGGATTAAGAATGGATAATGTATGGATAATGTACCACTGTAAATAGATACCATCCTCAAATGGCCTATTGGTGGTGAACCATTGAGTAATTACAAGCCAGTGTAAGTACTGTTATATAGTACATGACAAACTAAAATTAATCACACAAAAGATGGTAGTAATCTTTAGAATGTAGATCCTTTACTCCACATTTTGCATTTAGTCTGCCTACTTATTTCTTAAGTATCAAAGACTTAAATGTCATTTAAGTGTCTGCTGAAGACTGCACAATGAGATAAACTTGTGCTTCAAAAATTACTAAATTTATCAGTCATAGTACAATAAGTGTTTAGCCTACTGTTTTGATGCACTGAGTTAAGCTGCTTAGAGTTTAACTTTTTATCAAACGAAGATTCAAGCTTGGTTGTCAATGAAAACTTGGCAATATTTTACAAAACTCATTACACAAAATTTGTTTCTTATAGCTTACTTGCTGGTAAGTGAATATTAGATGAGTGATCCTGTCCTAAAAGCCTGTCCTCAACACAGGGAGACCAACTGAAAGCGTGAGAGCTTTTGCTAAAATGAACTTCCCTTGCTTCCAATATCAAAAGTGCTCTTCTCAAAATAATTCACTTCTGAAAACTAATTACACAACTTAAGGGTTAAACTACTCAAATTATAACACCCAAAAATACAGCTACATAAAGTATCAAAACTAACCTTGGAACAGCCAGGTGTAAAAGCTCCGGGGACAGCAAATATCAACACTTTGCGTCCAGCACACAGATCACGAGTGTTGACATTATTGGCTGGAGTCTCCTCAAATAGGTCTACACTGGGGATTTCATCTCCAACCTGTCAAGATTTAATTTTTATATAGCTTACTAATGAAAGAGCAAATGCAATTAAAAAAATAATTTTAATGGATAAAATAATATTGACCTCATTACATGTACACACAGAAATCACAATTGCGTGATGCATCAAATGAACAAATCCACAAGGGCCGTAACGAGGATTCGAACCTGCATCCGAGAGCATCCCAGACACTGCCTTAATCGACTGAGCTACGACATGGTCAAAAGGAGTTGAAACCCAAGTTCTACTGAACTTTCTGGATCCTGCAGCCTCTCCGAGGCACAAACCAGGGTTTTACACAACTCCCCCATGCACTCGAGCTATGTCAATAGGCCGTTCTCCCTCTTCACCCTTACTTCATTACACACAGAAATCACAATTGCGTGATGCATCAAATGAACAAATCCACAAGGGCCGTGATGAGGATTCGAACCTGCATCCGAGAGCATCCCAGATGCAGCCTTAATCGACTGAGCTACAACATGGTCAAAAGGAGTTGAAACCGAAGTTCTACTGAACTTACTTGATTCTGCAGCCTCTCCGAGGCACAAACCAGGGTTTTACACAATTCCCCTCATGAGTTTGACCATGTTGTAGCTCAGTCGATTAAGGCAGCATCTGGGATGCTCTTGGACACAGGTTCAAATCCTCGTCACGGCCCTTGTGGATTTGTTTATTAACCTCATTGATTGTTTTTCACAGTACAGTACTGTATTTATGAACATTAAGATTAAATTTTCCATATTAATCATTTTAGAAACTATATTTAATATGCATAATATTAACCAATAATAGTGGGTTGGCCTACTAAGTGTTACTCATTTCTACTGAAACTTTTAGAACATAAGAATAAAGTACTTACTGTATTATACAGGAAACTTCAGGAAACCCATAAACAGTAGTTCCCAGTTCCAAATCACTTACTTATTAACTTTATAACTCTAAACTTATCCAATTTCAATCCATTATTTTGATTCCATAGTTTATATTTTGTTTATTCTAAGAAAGGTTCTTGATGGGAATCCTACTGCCCTATTAACCTTGTTCTGAACATTTACACATTGATTTCTTGGTTTCCAATCCCTCACAAATTAAAATGATGTATAACAAAATTTAATATTGTTTAGGTGATACAATGTCTCACATGTCACTGTTCTTTTTCTACCTATAGAGCTTTATACTTCTCAGAGACAAAGTTTTCATCAAATCAGATATATTGTTTAGCCATTATGCTTGTCTCTTAGAAATTTCATTGCAGTAATTAACACTTTTTAATGTTCCAATTATGCTAAAAATGCATCATCTGTATTCTGAGAGTAAGCATTCTGGTGATGCTAAAATACAACATCCATCTCAAAATTACTGAAAAATCACCTTTTTTTTTTTGAGCATAGTGCATGAATAGCTTATCTGGGGACCAGCCAGAGGTTGGAACAAGTTAAGTGAGGTGGAGGTGCAGGCTAAAACCGTCAGTAGTTTCAAAACATTATATGACAAAGAGTGCTGGAAGACGGGACACCACGAGCGTAGCTCTCATCCTGTAACTACACTTAGGTAATTAGTTAACATTGTATTTATAAAGGCAGAAAAAGTCGGTGCCTGTGTCTTGCGAGTCTGCCTCACAAAGGAAAGCAGATGAATAATAAATTATTATAAACAATAATACAGTACTTCTTTTTTTAACACTTTAATATTCCAGTCCATCGGCACATTTCCAGCCATCTCAGGGTCCCGCTCAGTGATGCCCAAAATATTTATACTGTATATTTTCTCGGTTAATTTTTTAGTTTTACATGTACCTATAAATTTGGTGTCAAAATGTTCGCAGGTGAATTTACTAGAGTATAAATGCCATATACTATATTCAACTACAGTATTCAATTTGCCATAGAAATTGAACCTTGGACCTTATGGCTCTAATCTGCTGTGCTGAAGATTATGCCACAAGATCCATAAAACTAGCAGGAACTTGTCCAACTGCCTCTTCAAAACAGTACAAAATCTTGTCATAAAAAAAAATCAGAAAAACATGAAAACTATCACTTGCACAGGTATGAAGACACTGTATCATGTGTTCTAACATCAGTTGTCATCACAACACTGATCAAATTCAATACAGATCTTAAGTCATCCACTGCTAGAACCACCAATACACTACTGCCACATTATTCACATGTGAGGTAGTAGACCATTGCTTCCCAACTTCTTGTCTCTCATTACCCCCATTTTTCCAACCATGTTTTCACCTGTGGACACCACAACCATGTTCTTATCTGTGGAACCCCCTAAAACCCTCTCACCTCTGGACCCCTACAACCATGTTCTTTGTTCATTAATTCCACATTCATTAATAATAATAATAAATGTTATTACTGAGTACTTACCTGTGAACCCCTAGAACCATGTTCTCACTTCTGAACCCCCTACAATAAAAACAGAACTAGCAAAATTTACAGTAGCAATTGCTGGGGCAAATTGCATACATTTATATGCACAGTCGAGTTCGTTCTTAACAGAATTTTCAATTGAAACAATTCTGGGTTCGAACTCCAGGTGGACCAGAAATGGTTGGGTGCGATTCCTATCACCTAATGGTCCTGTTCACCTAGCATTAAATAGGTACCCAGGACTTACCTTTTTGTGGAGTTGCATCCTGGGAATGGTCAGTAGTTCGATCTTGGGGCAGGATCTTGATATAAGCCTAACATGTATATATATACTGGGTACCTGTCTGCTGACAATGAATTATTAAGTATGAATATTATGTCCGAAGCTGTTCATTGTTCTCAACTAAACCTGAATGTAAATGACAACAGGAAACATTTAGTTCAATCCACTCATAATAATGATTCATTTGTTTTGTCAGGGGACAGGAAACCTGCATATAAGATTTAGATTAGATTAGATTTAGATTTTTTATTCAGGTAAAGGTACATATATTGAGTTACATAATGTTAGATTTAAAGATAGAGATAGTACATACAATACCTAAAGCCACTAGTACGTATAGCATTTCGGGCAAGGTGATGGGGGGAAAAACACTTAGATAAAACTTAATACAGTAGTAATTGAGCTTAATGAAAGTAAAAATTGTGTTAAAAAAATAAAAAAGGGGAGGGGGAACAAGGCAGAGAATAGCAATTATACAAGTTGGTCAACAAGCAGCAATGATTACAATAGTAAGATGTGGGTTGACATTTAGGGGTAAGGTAGGCTACATGGAGTTTATTAGGTAATTTTTAGTTTTTATCTTAAACTGGTTGAGAGAGGTACAGTCTTTAACATGATTGGGAAGGTCATTCCACATTCTGGGTCCTTTGATTTGTAGAGCATTTCTAGTTAGATTAAGTCGTACTCTTGGGATATCAAATAGATCATGTTGTTTGATATCCCAAGTTGTTTCTGGTGTGATATCCAATATGGTGTGAAACCCAATAGTTTCTGGTGTGGTGCTCATAGGTTCTGTTACAACCTTCTAAGAAGCTTTTAAGGTCATGATTGACATTACAGTTCAGAGCTTCAGATTACCTGCACTTTAGGCTTGTATCGAGGTCACCCCTAAAGTTAAACTACTGACTACTGACTTTCCTTAGGACAACCCCACAAAAGTTGCCTAACTCCTGGGTACCTATTTACTAATACTGTAGGTGAACAGAGGTATTAAGTGAAAGAAATGTGCCCAACCATTTCTGTCCCATCCAGGATTTGAACCCAGGATGAATGAATCGAATTGACTGAATCGAAAACTAAGCCAAGAGTACTATGAGACTCCCTCCCCCCCACCTAACAAGTGGTTCAAATTTGTTATTATCCTTAATACAGTACATAGGACTTGATTAGTTCCAAGCACCCTTTAAATTCTCCCACAGACCTCTGACTGGCAACCACCATAGTAGACATACAGTATAGTAGGCATGTTAGTGCAGGGGCTCTATGGCTTCATGAAATGAAAGTGGAAATGATGATGCTTCTCCTCATACTAAACTTGGCACAACTTATATAATTTATCAAAATGGTAACTAAATAAATACAAACGGAATACAGTA